CTCCTTCTCCTTCGTTTGAAGTTGATGATCAAACCCAGAGCCTCACATCCTAGTAAAATCTCAGCACATACTCTACCATTGAGCTACATCCTGAAACTTTTCTAGGCTCTTTAAACTTTGTCTTTTGTTAAAGTTTAATAAAAATCCTGAAGTAACACTGAAACATTTGTTCCCTGAAAGCACAACAATCAATTATTCATTCAATCAATGTGGATCAAACACCACCCCGGGAATCTTTTCTCTGGGGATACTTTATGACAGCCGACTTCTTACAAAGGCTCCCCCAGGAACCAGTCTTTCTAAATACTGCCATAAAGAGTGTCTAGCAGACTCTCTGGAGCTGGGGCTGCATTCTTTGTCCAGACCACCTGAACCACATACCTTTGACCATTGATGCTTACTTTTTCCCAGGATCAAGCATGAGAACATCGTGACCCTGGAGGACATCTACGAGAGCAGCACTCACTACTACCTGGTCATGCAGCTGTAAGTGAAAGGTGACCCCCCTCCTCCACAGAGGCCTGTTGGAGCCTGGGAGGCTCAGAGGAGATTGGTCAGTGGTGAGAACATGGCAACTAAAAAACAAAAGCAGAATTAGTCCAAGAGGTTCTGAGTTGCCAAGACATCTTTTGGAGTCAGTACACCCCTGGTCATAGGCATGTTGTGTGAGCTGAGGAGTAAATCTGGGGCTGATTATTGAGTTCGTATGTACCAGAACAGGCTTCCTGTCATCACAATATTTCCTACAAGTGGGAAAAGAGCTGTCTGTGCTCTTCTGCCTCCCTATCCATCCCGGAGACGTTCTGGGACTTCCCCACAATGCAGCAACTGAAGGGGTAATGCCAAGTACATACAGCATGGGCCACCAGAACCCTTCTCTGACACCATGACTGGAGTCCATTTTGACAAGTCTTTGTCAATCAACTGGATAGCAAATGTATTAACATCATTTCAGGGTAAAGTTACTATAGAAGTAGAAGGCACAGGGTAGATAGATTTCAATTCAATATAAAGAAAGACTTTCTCAAAAGAGATCCACTCAGATATTGTGTGTATCCATCTGTAGGACAGAAGTAGAATGTCATTAGAAAAGTCTCTGTTGCTGACATAGCCACATAGAGTTCTGCCTGATGGTGACTGCATGTGGGTTGGTCAGTGCTCCCCACAGCACAGCCTTGGGTTCAAAGACACCTCTATGGTGTCTAAAAGGCATACACAGAACTCCCATAGACACATGCCACTCTGCAAACTCAGTATGGCTGGGCACCATGGGTTTTGACTGATGAGCCAATTCCTCAGAAACTTCAATGCATTAATTTGATTAACTATTGGCTCACTGAGGCCCAGGAAAGAGAAGAAGCAGGCAGTCAAGGGATGGAGGTGGGAAGGGCCCAAAGTGACAATAACCAGTGAGCAGGGACCAAGTGGTACCTTCAGGAGGCCAATTCAACAAGATTAGCATAAAGGTATTCTACAGGCTAAAGGGAGACAAGGAGGCGGGCAGGTTTAGGTGTCACTTGGGAGCCACCAAGCCTCCTAAGGGCACCTCCAAGACCCAGGCCATTCATAGTCAGGTGTTCATAGCTGTATTCAAAGAACATCTTTCTTAGGAGCCTCTAGTTCCTATCACAGAGCCCAGAGCCCAGAGACAGAAAGAAGGAGAGCACAATGGTATGGGTTTGACTGGGTACATTCTATTCCTCCATTGCTACGTGGTGCTGTCAGCTGTGCAGAGCCACAACTAATGTCATGGAACAGTGGAAATGGGGGCCAGGATGGTGAGAGCATCAGAACCCCAGATTATGTTCAAAATAGTTCAGGGATGTTCATCCCAGAGAAGAGGAGGTCTCAGGAGAGCATTTCACTAGCTCCACATACTTGAAACGATTCTTGTTCTGTGTGGTCCCAATGGGTGGAATCTGTATCTTCTGGAAAGAATTAAAGGTCATCAGGTTTCAACATAATACATGGAAATATTAAGAAACCAAACACTTTGTCATCAGAGGTAGTGAGTTCTCTGACACTTACGTGTTACAGTGCAGAGTAAAAAACTTTCAGACAAAAATGGTGTCGATGGTTTTCAAGAGATGGGAGGTTGGACTTGCTGTTAAGCCCCCTGCATCCTGAGACACGATGCCATTTGAGTCTCGAAACACTTCTATGGCCCCACCTGTGATTCCAGCTTTAGGTAGTCCATTTTCCCAAAACGAGGAACGAAATCCTGATATAAGCAGAGATGTCTCATTTTTCAAACCTTTTCTTTCCTATTTTGCCCAATTTCTATGTCACTTCTCTCATTCATAATGGCTTCCTGTGTCCCAGGCCAGGAAGGAAGACAGATAAGGAATGTGTGCACAGAAGGGATTATTGGCTTCTTTTGCAACCCCAAACAGGGACATTTGCATTATAAAGGAAGCTCCCAGAGAGAAACTTGGCTCAGAGAAATGATTCCCTAGTTACATCACACCAGGCACCTGAGGGGTTGTTCAGAGACTGGATTGGGCCTCCCCTCCCCTTCTAATCACAGTTCCTGGGCACCTTCCTGTTGTGTCTCAGCTGTGTCTCCCTTGGCCACAAAGCAAACACACTGGCATCCCACTGACCTGCATGAAGAACTGGATTCTTGTTCTTGCCCTTTGCCCACAGTGTTTCTGGAGGGGAGCTTTTTGACCGGATCCTGGAGCGGGGCGTCTACACAGAGAAGGATGCCAGTCTGGTGATCCAGCAGGTCTTGTCAGCAGTGAAATACCTCCATGAGAATGGCATCGTCCACAGAGACTTAAAGGTGCCAAGGCCTAAGCAGCCAGTGGGAAACAGGGAAGGACCCTTTCAGAAGACACCTGAATTGTGAGAAGTCGAGGTGCTGTCAAAAAAAAAAGAGGATTGGACCAATTGGACTCCCCAGGCCTCTTCTGCCCTCAGATTCCTTAAACAAGTCTTGGGTGGCTAAACAAAGGTTGTTAGTTTGCACCTCAGGTTTTTCCTGAACCTTGGACTGTGCCTTCCCCTATTTAAGGTATCAAAATAAATACTTTTTGAGGGTCTACATGGCACCAGGCATCACGGTAGACTTTGGTGAGGTCAGAGGAATTAACCAAAGATTGGTTTCCTCAAAAATCAGATGGTCGTGGGGTAGTTGGGAGGGAAGGGAGAAGGGTTACAAGGCTAAGCAAAGTCAGGACCATAAGGAAAACACAGAGTTCTGGGGTACGGAAGTGAGGACACAGGTTAAAGGAAGGAAGGGGGAATGGGAAAAGATGAGCTTGGCCTCAGAGACAGGAGCCCAGGGCTGAGCTTCCTAAGAAATTATATGAAAGAGAAAGAGAGATGTGTTTCAAGGGACTGTGTCCTATTGTGTCCCATACCACGCATTTCCTTCTCCTGCAGCCTGAAAACCTGCTGTACCTCACCCCTGAAGAGAATTCGAAGATCATGATCACAGATTTTGGTCTGTCCAAGATGGAACAGAGTGGTGTCATGTCCACGGCCTGTGGGACCCCAGGCTACGTGGGTGAGTCTGGAGGCAGGAAGGAGGTTGACCAGTTGACTATGTTCAACCACAGGGATGTAAGTCACAGAGAGGGGTGATTGTGAGGAGTCAGGGTTCCCCTTTGGAGTTACCCGGGTAGAGCATTCGTTTATGAGATTCAGGACCAGCCAATCCATCTATCTCCAGAACTACCCCTACTTCTTTCAAATCTGACATTTTTAAAGACAGCCTACCCCTAAGCCCTCTCCAAGCCCTCAAGCTATCCTTTGACTATCACGCCTGCTGACAGATCTCTGTCTTTGTCTTTCCAGTAGGACCAAAACCAGAAACAAGACCACAAACCCAAAGATCAGTAGAGAGCTCATGGGTTGAGCACTAGCCCCGATCCCTCTCACACTCTAGAGGAAACCTCACCCTCCAACTGTGAGGGGAGCCTAGAAGCATGGGATGTTGAGTTTGGGCCTAAAGAACCTACCTAGGGGCCCCTTAAATTTACACCCAAGGAAGCACTCTGGGGAACTGGCATAGGTGGGGCATCCCATCCAAGCAGACCTCTGGGCTTCCAGGGATCCTGAAAAGATAAGAGCAGGCAGGGTGCCTGGTGAAAGCATTTCTGGGATCTCTGCGGGAGGAAGCTGAGACAGAATATCACTCCTGCCCATTTCCTCTTAGGCAATCATCATCTGTTTGCAATTAGAAAATGGGAAGCAGAGTGGGAACCTACTCTCTCCCAAAAAGGGAGGTCAATTACTCCAAAAGATATTGAGTTCCAGTGGGTACAAAGCCGAGGTATCTAGGATAAACACAGAAGGCAGCTCTCTACTGCCCCAGGCTCCCAGTCAAAGGATAGACCTCGTCCATGTCTTCATGGCGGGCAAAGCCCCTGCTCTCAGAAGGTACTCAGATGGGAAAGTTACTGTCTGCTCCCTAGGAGCCTCCTAACTAATGAGGAGACTCCGCCTCTGATTTCCAGGGGAAAGTGGAAGCTCTCTCCCAGCACCTACCTGGGGCTCTCCCAGTGTGAAGGGAAAGATGCTACCCTTGCCTTGGGGATCCCCTATCTGGCTGGGAAGACAATGGTCCTACTTTCAGAGAGTACTCAATATATGATAAGGGAGGACTAGCTCCAGAGATCCCTAGTCTGATGGAGAAGTCATAGAGCCTGTCACATGGGAATTCCCAGTCCAATGGAAGAGGCACAGTCTGTCTTCATAGGAGGATTTAGTCTTCCTAAGATTTAGTCTTCCTCTGCTCTTGGGGAATTTTCAGTCTCACAGAAACAATACCATCCCCTGAGCTATCCTTGTTCCCTTGTCTAAGCTTCTTCCTGACCTCCAGCCCCCACTCCACAGCCCTCTTCTCTCGCCCCCCAGCCCTGACTCTGACATTGGTTTGCTGCAGCTCCGGAAGTGCTGGCCCAGAAACCCTACAGCAAGGCTGTGGATTGCTGGTCCATTGGCGTCATCACCTACATATTGTGAGTAGAAGCTGGCATTGGCTCAGACTTTGAGAAATCTTGAAGCCTGCCCACCCCTCTCTTCCCCTCCCCATCTCAGTTCCTCCTCCAAAGCAAGTGCGTGTGAGAATGCACACATATGCATGCTTACTCATGCACACAACTCCAAAGGTTGCTTGGTCCTAATCTCCAGCACATTATGAAGCAGAGCTCAGCACGCACCCACTGCTCAACCACCTGGTGCTCCCTCCTCCTGCACCCACCTCCATTTGTTGCATATAAATATGCCAAGTCCCATTCTGGAACCAGCAAGAGGTCAAGTCAGACTGGGAGCCCAGGTGGACCCATCACCCCTGCATCTCAGTTTTCTCCCTTACCTAGTCTCCCAGGGCAAAACCATAGACTGAGTAAAGCTGGTCAGGGCCTCTGCTTTTTGCTCCTCTCCTTACATTCTAGGGCTCTCCCTTTCCTGACCTGTTCACCCCCTCTTCCCCACATCTATCCTTGCCTGTAGCAGGCTTTGCTCTTAAAAAAAATAATCCACTATTAGACATTTACCCCTTAGTGTGGATTCGGTTCTCTATTTCCTCAGTTTATGTTGAATAATTATTCTGGTGCTTTCGTTTATACAACAAAGGCTCACTCTCTACTCTAAGTCAATCTCTGGGCTAAGTGCTAAAGAGTAGAACAACGAACAAAGCAGCCTAAAAAAATCCCTCATGAAAATCACATTCAGGAGGACATTCCACATGCCTTCTCAAAGATAGTTTGTACAGGGCATCCAAGAGTCGGAGGAAGTACCGGGAGAGGTAGAAAGGGTTGGGGGACATAATGTACAAAGACCAGGGATGCCAGGTCAGGCCTGGGCTCCTGCACATAGTCTTTATGGGACCTGTGTCATTGCTGAGTCAGAGGTAGATCCACATCCTGTCACAGTGCTGGTTTGGGACCCTTATGCCCCCACCCTCGTGAGTACAGTGCGAACTAGGGTAGGAGAGAAACTGACCCAGGGAGGAGGGGGTGTACCTCAGTAGTGTACCTCCTTCCTGTCCCACTGCAGGCTGTGTGGGTACCCTCCTTTCTATGAAGAAACAGAGTCGAAGCTTTTTGAGAAGATCAAAGAAGGCTACTATGAGTTCGAGTCTCCATTCTGGGATGACATTTCTGAGTCAGGTAAGGCCAGAGGGTGTGAAGGACAAGATAACAGCCTCAAGGCAGAGGCGGCCAAGAGAAAAGATCTTAACAAAGGATGACAGTCCTGGTTCTTCCAAGTCCCCAGGGATCTTATAAAACAGGCTACCAGGGAAAGTTGAGAAATCTTCATCTAGTTCAAAGGCCAGATAAACTATTTAAGGTTTATGCTCTTATTTTCTTGCAGGTGGAAACAGTGTGTCTGATGAGAGGGGCGGGAAAGAGGGTGAACTTTAGATGAGAGGCTGGAAGGGCAGAGTCAGGCAGAGAGAAGAGTTTCAGGCCAGATGTGGCAAAACCAAGCAGGCCAGATGTGGCAAAACCAAGCACTTCGATACCAGGACAGGGCACGCAATGTCTATTCATATGAGACGGTGATCATACACGCTTGTTGTGTCTGTGAAGTGGAGATCAGAAATGGAATGAGCCAGCACTCACGTGTGTGCCCATGTGCTAGTGCTGGCCCATATATCTGTGCAAATGCATGCACACATGGAGTGCAGGCACCCCGGTGCCTCATGACTAGCAAGGTTTCTGCAGTGCTGTGTGGGTGACGCAGCTCAGAGCCTCTCTTCTTGGGAGTTTATAGTGGGTTGTTATGAGGTGGTTTGGATTTTTTTTTTTTTTCCTCTTTTAAGACTCTTAAAATTGCCTCTTTGGAAGATTAGCTAAAGATGCATTCACTGCCACCCACCAGCCCGGAAGTGAATTTACATCAGTCATGAAATCTGGTCCTTAGCTGTTGTGTGTCTGATTGCTCCCCTTAGCCAAGGATTTTATTTGCCACTTGCTGGAGAAGGACCCAAATGAGCGGTATACCTGTGAGAAGGCCTTGAGGCACCCCTGGTGAGTGAGAAACAGCGTGAACCCTCAATTCTCATCCTGTGGTTCCCAAAGACACCTGACTCATCCACATGGTGGTTTCTTGGAACTGGCTTGCCCTGAGCCCCTGACCCGTGGAGACATCCAGGAGAACATCCAGGTGGAGGTGCAAATAGCATTTAATCAAGCAGGTTTGACCCAGGAGTGGAAGCTGGGTTATCCAGTCAATTCTGGAGGCAGACACAGCAGGCGCTGTCATTCAGCAGCCCTGGGTGTCCTGGTGACTCCCAGGTGGTGCAGTGCTCAGTACTAGTTGCTCAAAAGAAAACCCTCTCATGTTCTTTTTTTTTTTAAGGGTCGGGGGGGGGAATTTTTTATTTTTTTTTTTTCGTTTTTCGTTGGCCCCAGCTTTTTTTTTTTTTTTTTTTTTGTTGTTGGGGTTGGACCCCGGGGTCTGGGGCTTGCCGGGCAGGGGTTTTCCTTTTTGGGCCCCTTCCCCGGCCCCCCTCCCCCCATCTTATGTTGTTAAGAGCATCATTTGACTCTAAGATCAAACCTGTTCCATGTGAAGAAATTTTTTCCCAAGCTACTTGAAGTAGCTTCCCATTTCCTGCCATAGTGAGCTTAAATTTCTTGGTCTTTGTAAATTTTCTCTAATCTGACCCTTTATCTCCATGTTCATTTCCCAAGATTTCTAACACACCACCTTCTGTTCCAGATAGACCTAAAGTTATACTTCTCTTCCTGTCCTTCTCTACCCTCTCGTCCAAGCTCTTTCCTAACTATTTTTTGGATCATACCACTTCTGAGAATGTTCTGCCTCCTGCCCCCTGTGTTGCATGTTTGAAAGTCTGGATCCCTTCCCAGAAGTCTGTGACTCCTGCAGTCCATGCAGACCTCCTCATTCCCCTTTATTAATTATGCAGCTTACTGTCACCTTCCCTGGTCCATGGCATGAAACACCACCACACCCCTGGATTGTGGGCTCTTGGGGATTGAGGTTCATTTCTCTCCCTTCTCTGGGTCCTTTAGTAATTGTCCTAGTACTGTGCACATGGCAAGTGTCTGTGGAATCCAAGTGAGTAAGAGACTAAGGGGAGGGGAAAGGGCATCATGTATCAGATGGCCTCACTGAGGATGGCTTCAGGAGGAGCTAGTTGCAAGCAAGGTTTGGAACTAAAGCATAGTGATATCACAAGTGCCCAGTGATGCAGGGGTCCATAAATATTTCCTGTAAAGCCTGTGCTGGCCATACTGTCTTTGTGACAACTACTCGATTACTGGGCCCTGCTGGTCTGGCACAAAAACACCGAAATGAATAACCATGGCTGCATTCCAGTGGGACCAGACTAGACAACACAGACAATGGGTAGATTTAGCCCATAGGCCATAGTTTGCCAACCCTGCTCTAAAATATTTAGTTTTACCAAAGTATAAGCCCTTTATGACCTGCCCAATGGGAGCAGAAAAGCCCTGGTTCTAGCCCTTTCCTATTGTGAATCAGCCTTCTCCTGGGGCATTCTACTCAGCTTGAACCTGGACCTACCTTCACAGCCCCCTGCCCACCCCTTGACTGAGTGTCCACAGCTACCCAGTAGCCAGGGACCCCTCCTGCATCCACAGGATCAATGGAAACACCGCCCTCCACCGGGACATCTACCCATCTGTCAGCCTCCAGATCCAGAAGAACTTTGCCAAGAGCAAGTGGAGGGTGAGCTGTCCTCTGCTGGGGAGTGGGGAGCAGGGGGGTGCTGGAGGCTGGGCTAGGTGGGGGCTAGTGGAAGAGCCTACCTCAGGGCATCCCTTCAGGCAATAGAGAGCCCCTGATCCCCCTAAATGATAAATGGGCACATTGGCTTCTAGAGGCCACAGGGAAAGGAAACACTCTTGAGCCCCTTGGGTCTCTAAGGATGCTGTGTCTCCTTAGCAAGCCTTCAACGCAGCCGCCGTGGTGCACCACATGCGGAAGCTCCATATGAACCTGCACAGCCCCGGCACCCGCCCTGAGGTCGAGAACCGGCCACCCGCCATGCAAGCCTCAGAAGTCTCTAGACCCAGCTCCCCTGAGATTACCATCACAGAAGCACCAGCCCTGGACCAGAGCGCCCCACTCCCCACACTGACCCAGATGCCCTGCCAGCACGGACCTCAGTCTGGGGTCCCCGGTGGCAGGTCCCTCAACTGTCTGGTCAATGGCTCCCTCCGCATCAGCAGCAGCCTTGTGCCCATGCACCAGGGGCCTCTAGCCACTGGGCCCTGTGGCTGCTGCTCCAGCTGCCTGAGCATTGGGAACAAGGGAAAGTCTTCCTACTGCTCGGAGCCCACACTCCTCAAAAAGGCCAACAAAAAACAGTAGGTATTTTCAGCCAACAACAGAGCCCTAGCTGTGCTCAACCAGGTCTGAAAGAACCCCAGCAAAAGGACTGAAAGAAATTAATAACAAGGCCTCTTCTCTGCTCAAAGGCAGCTCTGAGAGTGGGAAGAGCCTGGTTGAGGGGAAGGGGCTGCTTCTAGGCCTGTCCCTACCACTCACTGACTGTGAGGCCATTGACAACTAGTGAGTGTCTCCCTTTCTAGCTTGCTGAGCTGCAAAATGGGTTGTTTGAAGCGTATTGACCTGCTCAGCCTGCCCCACAGAGACACTGTAAATGTCGTGGGGTGAAGCAACAGAGATTATAAAAGCTCACAGAAAACTGTATGTGTATGTGGGGGTGTGCATTAGATTCCCTGAGTTTCTAGGACCTCCATGTTTGGGGAGGAAAGGGGTAGGAACGCGGGTTGTCTTGTCTTCTCTACAGGAGCTTGAACTTTGTGAAGCTCATGAAAGGAGAGCTGGGCAGATGCCATGGCACAGAGAACATCCCCCAACTCCACCCCCAGCTCTTCCTTCTTCCTCCCTCAAATAATTCAAGGCCTCTGCTGTCTCCTTTCCAGGAACTTCAAATCAGAGGTCATGGTGCCAGTTAAAGCTGGTGGCAGTTCCCACTGCCGGGCAGGGCAGACTGGGGTCTGTCTCATTATGTGATCCCTGGAGTCCAGGCCTGTGTTACTATAGTTTTCAGGTGAGGCCTAGAGGCTGGGGAACCCGGATGCGGGGCTCAGGAAGGGCTTCTATTCCAGAGGGAAAGCCCCACCCCAGGGTTGAAATGATGGTTCTGAGGGGACAGTGACAGCAGCCCCACCTACACTCTGAACACCTTTCCTTTGCAGGGAACATGTCCAACTCTTCTCTGCCCGTCCAAACCTGGCATCTACCCTGCAGAGGGCAGAAGGCCAACAAGTGGCGCAGGGCCTGGCAGGAGGGGGCTCTGAACTGGAACAGCAACCTGCCGCTGCCTGGGGGGCAGACCCTCACAGGGGGCCCCAGAGGAAGTCCCAAGACCTGAGGAGGCTCCTTGAAGCTGTGGGCAGGAGGATCGGCATCTGCCGGCTTCCAGGTCTCCCTGACCTGTCTGCTCTCTGCCCCTCCATACACCCTACGTGCCGTGGCTCTGTGCAGTGTGCGGAGATAGTGCTCGCCTGGGTCTGTATTGTTTGTCGTGAAAAGCTTAGTGGACTGGCCAGGCTGTGCCACCTTCTCCAAGCAAAGCCATATGAAGCCTCTACTCAGACTCCCCACTCTGCACACACTCACGCCTGCCTCAGACTGGGCTCATTGTCATAACTGCCTGCCCATCTGCATGAACACCAGGCAGCTCCCAGCGGGGGGCCTCAAAGCTCTAATCCTTAACTCCAGGATTAGCTCCCCACTGCACTGAGACCCGCCAGCCCACTCCCAGAACATTTCAGACCCTCCCCTGGCCCCCGCCTCAATCTCAATCCACCCTTCAAAGTGGACTAGAAAGAAATCCATGACTAGGGGCTGCAAGGACCCATCACCCTGGCCACACATCCCTAATTAAGTACACTGGAAGCTGACTATTTTCATTTCAGCTAGGAGTTCCAATCCTGCCTCCCTGGAAGTCCGGTGCATCGTTCTTGTCCTTCCATAGTTTTCTCGCCCCACCCCCTCCAGCTTCATGCTCCTTGTTGTGCTCAATAAAATGGACATATTTTTCTCTACAAAGCTTCATTTTATCCTTTCAAAGGCAGAAGCAGCTCAGGGGCCTCAGCCTGTCTGGAGTGGAAGGTACCTGGACAGCTGCAGGTCAGGTCGGAAGGAGCAATCAGGGCCGGTGTATATCAGGAGCCGGCAGTGTGCCAGGCACCTAGTAACAAACATGAGCTACCCCATTCACAACAACAGGAACAGATTGTGCAGAGCCTTGCTCCAGTGTCCATTCTCTTAATGGCTGTATTAGAAGAACATGAGTTTGAGGCCAAGCTCTGCCTTCCTCTGCCATTTCTGTGAACTTGGGTGAGTTCCTTGCCTTTGTGCCTTGGTTTTCTCATTTGTCTGATGGGAATAACAGTGCCACCTACATCATGAGATAATGCAAATGTGTCCAACACAGTGTTCAATAAATAAATAAAATGATTAATAATGATTAAGAAGTTAATGTAGATAAGATGCCTAGCACTGTACCTAGGCTGTGGTTAGCACACAAATATTCCTGCCATTCCATATTTGCACATGTGCACATGTGTGCATGTTGCACACGCATGCACACACAGACACACACACACACACACAGAGGGCACATACTCTTTGAGATCTCTTTGAGATCCCTAGAGACATAGATCCTAGTGTAAGTCCTACCTCTTGGGAGCTGTGTGAATCTGACCATATTACTTCCCGTTCTGAGTTTCTATTTCCACATCTATAACTAGAAGCTGGATTGCTGTTCAAAGGTGGGAACTGTTCCTCTGGCCTTCCAAGGTTGAGGTCTATCCGGTCCTGAAGCAGAAGGGCCTAGTCTCCCTAGGTACAGGTGATGAGCAAGCTAGACTGAGCAAGTAGGGCAGCTCAACAGTCTTGAGCTCATAGGAACTCCAATGAGAGTCAGAAGTAAATGACAAAAGTTTATTGAATGGGAAGACAGACCATTTCCCTCCCTGAGCTTCTAGTTCCTTTCCAAAGATTTTTGGACTTTTCATTTGCACATCTTTTTTCATTACATTTTTGTGTTGGTCCAGGATTCAGTCACAACAGAGGACAAGGACAGAGACCTTGCCCAGCGTGGCTCTCCCCACTTGGGAGTTTCCAGGCATGATGACAGACCCACCTATACCACCTCTATCCACAAATGTAGCTGTCCCATCAGCGCAGGCTCTTCCTGGGTGGCATCCAAGTCTCCTGGAGTCAGAAAACATTCCACCCGATCTGCCCCCTCCCCAGAAGCAAAGGGAGCTGGAGATCATTTGCAGGTGGCATAATAGAGCACACGCCCATTGATGTGATCGCGGATCTGCTCCACGCGCTTCTCCAGTCCTGTCAGGTCTGCTGAGCGCAGCATGATGGCCTGGCTCCCCTGCAGCAGCTCCGATTCCATGTCTGAGGCAGATGGAACAGTGTGGGGAGGAGGAGTAGATGGTGAGATACCCAAAGACTTCCAACCCTTCTCCTTCCTCCCCCTGCCTGGAGGCAGCATGGGCAGGAGAACCAACTCGGCAGAGGCTGGCCTCCAGGTGGTGGTCACTGAAGCCTCTCCCCTCTTTCCAGTCCTGGACACCCCCAATTCTGATTATCCCGTAACTCCTCACCCCTCTTGTCTTCTCTAGGCTCTCTCAGTTGTACCAGGCTGATGGGGGCAAGGATACTGATACCAAGATTAGCAGCCCAATGCTGTTGGACCTGGACAGGGGCCATCCTACCAGTAACACTTAAGTAGGCATCTTGACACTTGCCCACTCTCCCCCCTCAAAATGTTACCCCAGATTAATCTAGTTCTTCCTACCCCACCCCCATCCTGGTCCTGTCTGATTATATGTGAAGGATTTGAAGAACACTGAAAAATGACCCAGACTGGCCTGTGTCCCCTAGGCAGCAGTCCCCTGGGCTACTCTACATTCCCCTAACCTATATTTCACCAAGATGAGGGAGGGAGCACAACTACCGTACAAGGCTCCAACTTTAGGCAGCTCTGATTATTTGCTAAGTCCTCTTCTCAGACAACTAAAATCTAACCACTTCTTGCTTCCACCCCATTGTCCCAGGTCTGTCTCCTGGGTATGTAGGAATATATCTGCTCTGCTCCCACATGGAAGTCCCACATGGAAGGCTTCATTTTCTCCAGGTTAAAGGTCTCCATTCCTCATCTGATACAATTGCTGGGTCTCTCCCTCTCTCCCACCCCAGTCACTCTCTTCCTGATGTGTGCAGTTTTGTTGATCCTTTATGAAGATGAGCATAAGAGAGTGTCAGCCAGTGAACATCCACATGGGCCTACAGGTTGGTCAGATCTTGAAATACATCCATACTAGTGGTTGTATTATTGCTGTTCCATTTCAGGGCCCCATTTCCAAAGGCCTCCTTCATGCATAATCCTCGCCATTATCTTCCAATTAAAGTAAATTCCTTCAATCGGGTAAATTTCCATTCCAATGCTATGACCTGAGACTATTCTCCTTGGTGGGTATGTGCCGTACCAGTTGCTAAGTAGTTTGAATATTACCCCTAAGCTTTTACTGATCCCCCTTACTTTGGCTGCTTTGTGTTTATTAGCTCTCAGGAGTAGCAAGACATTGCTGTTTCAAAACAAGCCTGCAGTTACTCAGAACTCTTGGGTCTTTCTCAGGTGAGTAACAATTTGTGACATGAACCACTGAGAAGCCAGGTCTCTCCTGAGCTGTACTTGTGGTCTAGGCCCACAAAGGCCAGAGGGAAGGTTTATCCTGACTTCATTTCATCCTGTTGGTTTAATCCCATCTTTTTCATCTTTTGCAATTGCCTGGTGTATTAACTCTCTGACATACACAGATTTGACAAATAAATTCTTTATCTTCTTACAGAGCATTGATGGGCAAGGCCAAGAAAAGCACTGACCCAGGCTCTGGTTCCTTCCTTGAGTTCAGCTCCTGGCCCTTTGTGGGTGGGTGTCCACAGCCTCCCATTTCTTCATTTTGAACCCACCAATCCAACCTTCTCTAGGGTGTCCACTTGGCTACCCACTGAGGTTTTTGCCAAAATTCAGAGAAACTGTGAAGCATTCACTGAACACACCAGCCCAGTGATGCCACCCACCATCACAACTTAGAGAATGAGTGGCTTCTAAATTCCTTATTCCTCTTTCTGAGGAAAGCTCAGAACCCTTTTAAAAGCTATTACCATGATGTCTCTGCCATATTCAGAACCTCTGGATTGTTCCCTGCCACATGCAGGGCCAAGTCTACCTTCTTCATCTGGGTTGGAGGCCAGCCACGTGGAGCTATTCTGTGTCTCTCCCACAGGTCCTGGTCAACCTCCTCTCCTGTTGGCCGATTCCTGTCCCATCCTCAAGACATGCCTTGTTCTTTCTCACCCGCTTCTCACCTCCACTGAGCATTTCTCTCAGAAGTAATTGGTCTCCTAGAACTCATTAGTCATGTCCCTTTCACAGGCCACCTCAGGCTATTAAATACAGTTTGGGGTACCGTTCACATGATAGGGAAAATGGCCTCATCTGGAGTGCAGGGCAGGCCGAGTCAATGTGAGCACTCCTGATTCCCCACAGCCCTGTCACACATGCTAACCCTGATTGACCTCACTCCCTTAGCACTGCTGCTCCACCAGAGTGGACCTCAGCAGCCCCGGGAGGGGGCCAGCCTTCAGGGATTCCCAGCAGTCCATGCCCCTCACCTTGCATCCTGTCCATCATCTCCATGGTCTCCTCAAACAGTTCCTCTGCCTCTGTCTTGACAGTCAGGATCCGACTGCCCTGCTCACCCAGCATGGGACTCCGACTCAAACGGTCCTTCAACCCAGCATACTTTTGCTTTATTCTCTCAAAGTTCTGAAAAAAGTAGAACCACCTCAGTATCACTATCATCAAAGGGCTGTAGCTAAAGCATTTGACATCATCCGAATCAACACACAGGGATGAGGTGCCTCCTACTATCCCCCATGCACATATTTCACCTATAAAACCACTGTGCCCCAGATTATGTCTGAAAATTCTGCATGCCCCTCCCTCCATCTCTCGCTCCTGTCACCGCCCCCATCTCACTTTAAGCATAATGCCAAACACATAATCATAGGTTTATATTAAGGTGCCATTTCAAAGCAACTTGGTCACATCCCAGGATTGCACATGCCAACATTCCCAACCTTGGGAGAAGCACTTGAGACACTGGGAGAAGCTCTTCAATCTTCTCTGATAGGGGTGGAGCCCAGATCATTGGTCTAAGCTGAGTGTCCAGGCCAAGGATTAAGGAGACAAGCTCCAGATAACACAGTAAGAAACCTGCTTTATAGATGATCTTTGGGCAGGGGCGAGTGACCACCTCATCTATAGACAGCTCCAGATGTCTCAACTGGACTGGATCATCTTCAGCATTCCCAATCCAGTTACACAGAAGCAGTGGAGGCTAAATTTGAGTTAATCCTGAAGCCCTTCACTGGCTATGTTTTGTTGGGCTAACTCGCCCTCTCTGTACCTCCTGGGCACTCAGTGCCCGCTGGCTGGCACCCTCTGCAAGCTGCTGGGCCTGGGCTGCCTGTGCCCTCTGCTGCTGGGCCTGGCGGTGGAGCTCCTCCATCCGTGCTCGGAAGTCACCCAGCTGCTCCCTCATGCCCATCACCAGCCTTTCTGCTGGTCCCAGGACCTGCTGAACCTTTGTGGAAAAAAGGAGAAAAATCTGGAAGTTTTTAGTGACTCTTACAGGCAGCCAACAGCATGCTTCTGCCATCTTTTCTCCCACTTTACAGACAGGGAAAATTCTGTTCAACCAGGACATCACAATGGCTCTCCCTCAGCCCCTGCCTGTCCATGATATCCAGGCCTCCTCCTTCTCCAGCTCAGTCAACCCCACCCCTGCCTTAGGGTCCACCCCTGCCTTTTCTGCATCCTGGCCAAGAGCTCAAAACCAGACTTGAGGCTTGTAAACCAGCCTTCTCAAGACCTCCAGCTTGGTCAACAAGGTCACCTTCTAGCATCTTCTATACCTTATGCCTAAATCTGTCTATTCATTCTAAAATGGGGGAGAAGAATCTATAAGGCCTCACCTCAGCGACCCTGTCCTGGATAAGTTTAAGGGAGCGGCTGGTGCCTTGCATGGTGTCCTGGGCCTCCTGCAATGCCACCGTGCCCTGCCGCAGGTTCCCAACCACATCCTCCACCTGGCCTTCCACTGCGTGAGCTCGGCTCCTAAGGAACAGGAAGGAAGAGCAGAGAGAGAAGGAGTGAACAGAGAATGATAAATGTGTAGTTTAACTCACGCACCAGCCTGAGAGAACACCCTTTCCAGCTGAGACAAAGACCAGGGACAATATTAGCTCTGTAGCTCTTCCCTCCTGGGACCCCACCAAGAGGGGATAGTGAGTATGTGTTATACCCAAGACATCCCCTTGGCCGTTTCTTTTATGGAAGACAGGGTCCAGTAAGTGAAGTGAAACCTGGACTTTTCATATCACTCAACTATCCCCACCACAGTAGGCAGCGCCCCCTGTGTCCTGGACTTCTATTCCTCTCTTCCAGAAACAGGGTTGGGGGACAACCTGGGTAGGGAGAAACTCAGGGCCCCAGGCCCTACCTGGCCTGCTCAGCCTCAGTCTGGAGCCTGCGGGCCCGCGTAATGTCCTGCTTGGTCTGAGACAGCACCAGGTCCACGTTGGGGAGCCTGGCTGCGATGGCCTGGATCTCGTTCATCTTCTGCAGGACTGTAGCCGAGTCCGTGGGCAGCCACAGAGCCAGCACAGCCTCGCTGACCTCCTGGATGGTGGCTGCATCCATATCAGGGTCTGGAAGACAGCCATCCATCAGACTGGGGAGGCCAGTCACCTCCCCAAGGATCAGCAGCCTCTTAAACAGCACCATAGACAATGCCTCTGTGGCCCTTCTGATGTGGGAGAAACACTGCCCACTCTCAAGCAAACGCAGGCGCCCATTCTCTAGGAATTTCCAGAGATGCTGTAGGATGATTGTCCTGTGTTCTGTGCTGTGGGGAGGAGGCGTGTCAGCACAGCTGTGGCAACTAAGTGTCTGGTGCCACAGGAAGCTGCGGGCTGGGAGGAGGAGGAGGAGGAGGTGCGCCCGACAGCTGGTACTGAGCAATGTCTGCTGCAATCAGCCCCAAACTGAGGGGAGCAGTCAGGGACCCGAGCTGCTTCCTTGGCCATGAGACTGCTTCCCAGCCCCCCTCCCAAAGAAGTGCTCAAAGGCAAATAAGGATTAGCACTCTTTGCTGGAATGTCACCTTCTCAGAAGCCAGTCGTGGACCTCCATCCACACTAGAGCCAGACTTCTCATCCTCTTTTTCTGCCTTATCTTCCTCTCCAGTGCTTACCACCCGTGTGCAAATGCTGAACTCATTTACCTGGTTTTTGTCTCTCTCCCCACGAAAAGGTAAGCTCCATGAGAACAGGGACTGGCTTTTGCCCACAGCTCTTTCCCCAGACCCTGACACAGTGCCTACACTAGGAGGTCCTTCATGTTTGTGGGGTAGATGAATGACTTCCAGATCTAGGCTTCCCATTATCCATTCAAGCAACCTCACAACCTCACAACAAGTCACGTGACTTCTCTGTGCTCAGTTTCCTAATCTCGGAAATAGGGCTATTGGTCCACATTCTGAAGTTGTGATGTGACAATTAGCAAGAGTTTTTAACCAACTCTGAGTCAGAGAGTGAGGTCAGAAGTACAGAGATGACATCTTCCTATTAGCTTTTACAGATTTTACCTGAATGGAAGTGTCCAGGAGGCCCCACCCACCAGAAGGTTTGGCCTGGGCCTGAACTCCTCTGTGGCCGTGGGCCCAGCCTTGCTCCACGCCTGCCAGGTTTCCTCACCAGCTAGCCACACGAGTCTCTTCCCCAGACCCCTCTCAAGCCAGGTGGAAGGACATTCTTGGAAGGTGGAAGCTAGTCCTATTCACTGCCATGTCCCTAAGGCCAGCTGGCGGCAGCTTGACATAGGAGCCCAAGGCATAACTGCAGTTGGGTTTAACTGGATTTATTCCATTGCAAGATGCACCAGGACCCTGACCATACTGACATCAACCTCTCCTCTAACCCAGAGTCCTCTCCAAATAAGGCTTAATCCTCATCCTCCCAGCAAAGCCTCCCTCGCTGAACATAGCCCCTCCCAGCTCTGGTGCTTCATGTATTCTGCAAAACTTCACCCAGGCTGCAGCTGCACCACACTCAGTTCCTGGCCTTCTGAGGCTTGGAGTGGGCCCTCGTCAATATTTCCTGCTCTGCACAACAGCACATGAGGAGTTGAGACTGCAAATCAAATTAGCCTCAGTCCCTGCCTTTATGGAGCTTGGGATCTAGTGGGAGAGACATGTTGATAAATAAGGAAGCAAAACCAATGAGGGTAGAGGTGTGCCTCACCCAGGCTAGAGGACCAGGGAGGCTTTCTGGAGACTGGGGTTCTTTCCTGAGAGAACTCTTAGAGGATGAGCAGGACTTATCCAGGTAAGGGGAGACAAGGGAAGGTAGACAATCCAGAGAGAGGGAAAACATTTGCAAAAGTGAAAGTGAGTGTGTATGTCCATCCCATAATGCAACAATGTAGATGTGCAAAACTGAGTGAGAACAATGGGCTTGAATCCTACCCACACCACCTCCAAGTTGGATGTTCCTAAACAGGTTGCATAACCTCTCTGTGCGTAGATTCATTATATGCAAAATAAAGTAATAATAGTACTTAGCTCATGTAGCCAAAATTAAGTAATATAATCGATGCAAAGCCCTTAAAACAGTACCGGGTACTTAGGAATGAACTCTACCTATTAATTTTTTCAATTCCATTTGAAGAACTAGTGAAGAAAAATGATGTCACCTCCCTCCTCCATAGACCTGCCACTCTCCCTCCCATGCTGTGACCCTGTATACCAACAGCAGCTAGCACCCGCCTCCTGTAAGAGTTCTCTGAAGCTAGAACCCACCACTATGATAACTGTGAGAATTTTCCTTCTCTCTGCCTCTGGACCCATCATAGGACTTGACCTGAGACACAGCATAACTGAGAGGACAAAAAGGGACTGGTTGTTCCCTGCCTGCTTATGCCAGCCTGGGAATTCCAGCTCCATCTCACCTCCTGGCCTGGGTCCTGGCCGTAGTTAATTCAAGATGAGTGGCCTCTTAGCCTACATAAGGGCAAGTTTCCCTTATTTGTGAGTCTGAGCCCCAAACCTCGGCCTGCCCCTTCATGCTTCTTTGCTGAGTACCATCTCCCTGCATCCCTAGTAACATTTCCCCCCCGTGGGCCTTATGGCTTCAAGCAAGTCATAGGATTTCTGTGGATCCTTCCTGCCTCTCTCTGACCTGCCATCTGCACTCAGGAGAGAGCTGTGGCCTATTTGGGGCAAAAACACTGCAATAGTAGCAAGAAGAGCCACTGTCATTACACCAAACCCTCAGCTCATATTAACTGGGCTCCCAGCCAGCAAATTTCCTGGCAGAGACCAGAAATCTAATAATATCAACTCACATTCCGGAGGCACCTTTAATTTTTCAAAGCACATTTTACATCAGTTATTTGATCCTCAAAATAAACTTGTGAAATACTACCATTTCCATTTGCAAGCGAAAGGTGGGGCAAAGAGAAAAAGCAACATTTCCAAAGTCACACAAGTCTCCTGAGTCCTGTCCAAAGATCTTTCTATTGCACAGCCCTGTCCCACTCTCCAGGACAGCAGGAAAGAGATCACGTTCATCAGTTTGGGTGCATTCTGTGTCTAGCCTTATGGTAGGTATGGTGATACAGCCATAGACCAGATAGCCAACCATCCCTGCCCTTTTGGACTCTGCAATCTAGTGAGGAGACACATGACATATTTACAGACAAATGAACTTCATAAGCAGAGCCTAAATAGCAGGGTGAAGGTATGGGAAATGGGGAGCAGGGGGCTGACCACAGGCAGGGTGGTCAGGGAAGGCTTTTCTGCAGAGATGATGCTGAAACTGAGACCTGGAAGATGAGAAACAGCCACCTTGGAAAGAGCATCCCAGGAAGGCAAAGAGAAAAGGGTATCCAGTGAGTGAAGGAAGGAGGAGCGCAAGGTCACATCCAGGAGATGGACAAGAGCCAGACCTTGTGAGTCAAGAGAGGAGCCGGGAGTTTATCAAGGAACAAGGTGAAGCCTTTGAAGGATTTAAAGCAAGAGTGGGAAGCCATCTGACATATTTCTCAAAGGTGTCTCAGACCATGCTATTGGGAATGGATCACACACAGGGAACAGGCAGAGAAGTCATTGGAGAGGCCAGATGAGTGACAGGGTCCTGGGCCAGGGTGCTGGAGGCCATGGAGGCAGGGAGGGAGACCGGGGATTGTTGAATGAGAATGGGAATGAGGGAGAGGCAGGAGCTGGACACCAGCTGAGGGGAGACTGAAGCCAGCTCACCCGTGAGGAAGTCCCGGACCTGCTGGATGAGGAACCGTGTGCGTCCAATGTCTTCTTCCATCTGGGAGTGACTGGTGCTCACCTGGGTCTTTAGGCGCTGAGCATCTGATTGGACCTGCGAGGCAGCTTCCTCAGCTGCCCTAATCTGTTGACACACCATGTGTTAGAAGGGGCCAGGACTCCATGGCGCCTCTCAGCAGCTCCCAAGGATTCCATGGATCATCCTCGACCTCAGGACCTATCTACAAAGCATCTGTAACCAACCAAGTTTGGCCCCAGAAGACACAATTTGGATGTTTGGTTTAAAAAAAAAAAAAAAAACCTCAAAAACATTGATTCCAACTCTATGTCATGTTTGCTGTGAAACTTTAACACAATCACCTAATATTTCTGGGCTTTAGTCTCTGACTTTAAAATGGGAATTCTGGCCCTAAAGCAACTTAGTGAGACCATGTCTCTAAACAAAATATTAAAAAAGGCTAGGGATGTGACTTAGCGGTTAAGTGCCCCTGGGTTCAATCCCCAGTACAGAAAGAAAGAAAGAAAGAAAGAAAGAAAGAAAGAAAGAAAGAAAGAA